TTAAGTGGGCTCCAGCGGAGGAGCAGGGGACTGCGTTTTGGCAGGCACAGGGAGTTTGGATTCTTCTGACTCTTCCATTCACCTCTGGGTGAGCTGGGCAGGTCGTCTGGCCCCTCTGGGCTGGGTCTGGCCATCAGTAAGATGAGGGCGTTGGACTCCATCTGGTGCAGACAATCTGGTTCCCAGAGACGCCTTCTCAGGACGCCCTTCCCTCTTATGTATAAACTCACATTCCTCATCCTGGGCTATTCTGCCATTTCCTTTCGTGCTAAACCAAAGGGCTATTTTGGAAACTCCTATAAGCAAACTAATCCCTGGCTGGCATTTGAACGGATATAAAAGAGCCCTAAGTGAGGGACTCAGGCATAAACGCCGCCCAGCCCTGAGAGCCCACGCCGTTAAATTTAGAAGCATCGCTTCCAAATGAGGTGAAATTGCAGGTTCCCTGTGGCCGGTGGGCAGCACCGAGCAGGACAGATTTAGCAGAACAGGCTCCGGCTCCCTCTGGCTGCACCTTGGGGGAAGAGGCCCAGGACGGCCCCTTCAGTGTCTGGGGAGCAGCTGCTGGGTAAGGAGCCCCTTCAGCTGGCCCGCCTGCCCTGAGCTCCCCAGCTGGATCCAAGCATCAGATGCTGCCCGGGTGCCGGAGAGAGGCAGCGACGGACACGCGGGGAAGAGGCAGTCTTGTCTGCCACCGAAGGTTTGGGACCCGCATGATTTCTGTGACTCTCTCCTCTGCCCAGGGGCCCAGTGAGGTCCCTGGCCTGCCTCTCATGCCCTGCAGAGTGCCAGCTGCCCGGGGCTGCCCGACCTGCCTACAGTCCAGCCGCTAAAGGGTAATGCCGGCAGGGGGAGGGGGAGGGGGGATGGTCTTGGGGGAGGAGTGGGGTCTCCAAGGTGCCCAGCCTCTGTTCTGAGTGGTCAGTGCCGCTGTTGTGTCAACAACTAAACATTAAGAGTATGACCCTTGGTTAAAGGTGACAAACATCCGTTGGGACTTGTCAGGAGCCCACTGAAGGCTCCTGGGATTCCAGGGGTCTCATCCCGGCCATCTCATGCCCAGTCCACCAGAGAGGGGGTCATTTTGCAGCCCGCTGGGTGAGATCACAAGGGTCAACTTCAAAGGCTCAGCCCCACCAGGGATCGGCCAGGAGAGGTGCTGCTGGGATCTGACGCTGGTCCAAAGGGCCCTGGGCTCCCACACCCTGAAGCCTGCAGGGGATGGGGCTCGATGTCTCTCAGCCGTCCCCAGGGCTACATTTCTAGCTTGGCAGGTCTGGTCCATGAACCTGCTTCCATTCTGGGGCCCCCTCCCTCCTGCTCAGGCTCATGGCAGCAGAGGGGGGGTAGTGTCCTCAGCACAGCCCCTGCGGAAGCAGGTGCCTCCTAGCATGAAGTAGCTGGGCTTTGGAGCCCATCATGCCCAGGTTCAAATCCCAGCTCTGGCAGTTCCGACCTGTGTGACCTTGGTTGAGTCATTTCCCCTCCTCTCTGAGTCTCTGTTTCTTTATCTGCAAAATGGGAAGGATAATAATAATATTTGCCTCATATCGTGTTGGGAGTATTAAATGAGATTTTAAACCTTTAGAGCAGGTAGCAGAAGGAGTGCTGGCCACCCAGGGGTCATTCATCAATAGCTGCTGCTCTTGTAAATAATGTTTTAGTGGCACATATCCAGGCTCATTCATTTACACATTATCTGTGACAGCTTTTGCTCTAAAACGGTGGAGTTGAGTAGCTGTGACAAACACCATAAGGCCTGCAAAGCCCAAATAATTCACTCTCTGGCCCTTTCCCGAAGTCATTTGTCCACCCCCGTCTTGGAGTGCAGCACATAGTGGGAGTTTTTATCTTTATCCTGTTCTTCCACTGACTGCGCCTTGGGCTGCACAGCATGCTGAAGTGGGGGAAGCAGCCCCAGCCTTTCAATTCTTGTCCTCTGGTCCCATAAAGATGCGCTGTGACTCTTTCAGGCCCTGGAGAACGCCCCCAGCCCCACCTGCAGGGAACTCTCTGTCTAGTCGGGGAGGCAGACAAGTCACCATTCACCGTCCACTGTAAGTAAAGTGAGGCAGGGATTGGGGGGAGGTCCAGGAAGGCTTCCTGGGGGAGGTGACATCTGGGCTGGAAGAGGAGCTGGGAGGGTCTAGCCAGGAGGCCAATCCCCACGTGACAGCCAGACCTCACCCTGGAAAACGTGGCTCCCTGACCAGCCTCTTCACCTCTTAGAGGCTCTTTCCTCATATGAAAAGTGGGGTCATTTCACCTCATGGCCCTGTTGTGAGTAGTCAGTCTACAGCCAGGTGCTGGCACATTGCGTGGGTCTGCACTGAACCTCAGTTCTCCTCCTTGGTCCTCCTTTCCTAACGCTGGGCAGGCAGATGTTTGGGTTTGTTCTAGCAAACTGCATGCAGAGGAACTCTTTAGCGATCGTCTTTCTCCCTTATCTTGAAGTGGAGGACCTGGGGGAGGCTGGAAGAACAACCCAGAAGGCCTGGGAGGGAGGGTGGCAGGGATGTGGAGGGAGAAGGTGGAGAGAGGGCGTTCCGGTCCCCAGCCCCCCGGGGCTGGCTCCAGAGTCCGCGTCCCACCCGCTGACCTTGGGGATCTCCCTGCCTGCTCCCTCCTGTGCCCTTGCTCATCCTGGCTAGGATGGAGGGAGGGCGTGTTTAGCAGTTTGAGAAGCTTCCGGTGCCACCCAGAGCCTGTGCTGATAGGGGTGGGGGCAGTGGTATGCTGATAAAAGTTTAACAACAGGCAGAAAAACAAACAAACAAAAACACCTCAAACCCTAATTTGTAGCACTTGCCCATTTCCACGCTGTACTTAATTCTGTCATGGCTGATTTCAAGCTACCAACATTCCTGAAAATTTCACTGTCGACTCTTGTGAGCTGGTCCAAGCTGGCAGCAGTACAGCCCAGGTAGGGACTGTGGGGGCGTGAGGGTCCTCCCGTGGGGCTGGGGCGAACCCCCAGAGTGCGGGATGCCTGCCCACGTACCTGAGAAGCGCTGGCTCAGCATCAGTTACACTTGGGTTCTCAGCCTGGCTCTGCCGCTTCCTAGCTGGGTCCCTGGGCTCGTCTTGTTACCTCTCTGAGCCTCAGTTTCCTCATCTATTGAATTAGGCTCGCAACAGCTCCTACACCTCAGGGGGTTATGCAGCTCTACTAAGATAATTTACATAAGGCGCATAGTGGACAGCTGGTCTAATTATGAGCTCTCCACTGCCAGACTGCGTCAATTTCCCCATCCGTACACCAGGCTGCTGTTCACGGACCTATTGCACGGGACAGTCCCTGGCACTGGGACTCCACTCAGTGGGTGCTCCGCAGACACTCGCCGCGTCGCTCCTCGGCTCATCTGCCCCAGCAGCTGGGGTCTCCAGGCTGGGGTCTTGGTCAGCCGATGGCACACAGACAACCAGCTCTTTCTGGTGTCTATTTCACATCCTGTGCTGTCAGCACATTGTGTCCTTGGTCCTTTTCTGAATTTCCATTTTACAGACGTGATCACCGAGGCCCAGAGCCGGTGAGCGGCACAGCTGCAGCTGGGGTTTGAGCCCAGGTCTGGCTTTGTTGCTTCCAGAGCTCACCTAATGCACAGCACGTGTGGGACTCTGGGCTGCGGGAGGTATCGGAGGAGGAGGAAGCTTGTGGGGGGTCACGCAGATCTGCCAGGGGGTTCAGAGTGAGGGCTCTGGAGCTTGTGGTGGGAGCTGACTACAAACAAAATGCAGGATAGACACTGGATAGACGTGGCTGCAAAGGGAACGTTATTCCAGGCAGAGGCCCCAGGGTGGGCAAAGGTGTGGAGTCTGGGCTCAGCCACTGGGCGGAGGGGATGTGGGAAGCAGGGGCCCTACCGAGCGGGAATAGGAGGGAGTTGGCGGAGCGGAGCTTTCTCAGGGCAGTGGGGTCCCCAGAATCCTTGCACCGACGCCACCCTGGCTGAGGGGTGAGGTATAAAACTGTAGCAGCAGAGATTTAGGTTAGATATGGGGGAGAACTTTCCTATTGTGTTGGAAGACACTGGAAGATATTCCCAAAGGATGTGGTGGCATTTTTCCAATCTCGAGATGGTTTGGAAAAACGTAAAGACAGCCAGGGTTCTAGGCTGGCCTCCCTGCACCCTGGGTCAGAGATGGGGTAATGGATCTGTGGCTTCTGGAAGCCTTTGATGCCAGCAGCCTGGCCTCATGTGAACTGGGCTGACTCACCCCCTGCTCAAAACCTCCCATGGCTCCCAGTTACCCTTAGCCAACTGCAAGGCCAAAGTCCTTCCTGCGGCCACCGAGGCCACCCTGACCTGTGCTCTGCTGGCCTCTGCAACCTCACCTGGAGCCACCCCCCACCCCCCTGGACTTCTTTCCATTGCTGGATTACACCTTGTCCTCTGTGCCTCCAGGCCTTTGCTCACGCCGTTCCCTCTGCTTCAGATACCTTTCCCTCCCCTCCCCTTCCCCTTCTTCCCTCCTCGTCTTTCCTTCTCAGCTCTCGGTCGCCTCCTCCATGGGTTGGTCTGGTACCCGCATCATTTCACTATGGACTCCCTACTGTAATGGTGGCCCGTCAGCCCCCTGCGGGACTTGGAGCCCTGGAGGGCGAGGGCTGGGCCTGCCTTACTCGGCGTCTGGCTCACAGGAGGTGCTCAGTGGGGGTTTGTGGAAGGGGTCAGGGTTACTGGCAGAGAGGAGTAGCTGAGGGGAGGTGAGAGGAGCTGGTTCACGAGTTGCTGGGCGCCCCCTGCTTCACACAGGCATCAAGGACCCAAGCACAGGGTGCAGAGACCTGGGCTCGAATCTTGCTCCTGCCCCCCGCCCCAAGCTCCCTGACCTCACTGAGCCTCAGTTTTCTCACCTGTGAGCTGGGGGCAGCACCAGCCGCCCCCTCTCTGGGACTGCTGTAGGGCCCTTGGGGGCCACGGTGGAGGGTAGCCAGCCTGCGGTCAGCACTCACCGGGTGCCAGTTCGAGGCTGACTGTCCTGCCCTCTCCCTGCAGGTGACAGCCATGTCGGTGAGGGTGCGGTTCCTGTCCTCTGGGGACACAGGGGCTGTGGGGGTCATGGGCCGGAGCGCCTCCTTTGCCGGCTTCAGCAGTGCCCAGAGCCGAAGGATCACGTAAGTTCTGCCCGGGCTGTGTGTGGGAGGCTTGTTTGAGGGCCAGGGATCGGGGGGCCGGCGGGGGCATCCTCCTCCCACGCCAGTGACCCTGAGGCTCACTCTCATGCCAGGCCTGCAGCGCAGGGTAGTGTGTGTTTGTGTCTGTCTGTGTGTCTGTGTATGTCTGTGTCTGTGTGTCTGTGAGTGAGACGCTTGGTGTTGGGAGAAAGCTGTAATTTGCTTCAGATCTGAACAGGTGTCACCCTACATGCTCCTGGTAGTTGATCCTGGAAGCTGATCTGCTTGAGTTTATCAGGCCCACTTGGCAGATCAGAAAACTGAGGCTCAGAGAGGCAGAGCTGCTCACCCAAGGTCACACAGCAAGACTGATTCAGAGTTGGAACTTAGTCTCCTAGGGGCCAGGTTAGGATGGAATGTTCTTCCTGTTTTTTGGGGTTTTTTTGCGGTACACGGGCCTCTCACTGTTGTGGCCTTTCCCGTTGCGGAGCACAGGCTCCGGACGCGCAGGCTCAGCGGCCATGGCTCACGGGCCCAGCCGCTCCACGGCATGTGGGATCCTCCCAGACCGGGGCAGGAACCCGCGTCCCTGCATCAGCAGGCGGACTCTCAACAACTGCGCCACCAGGGAAGCCCTGTTCTTCCTGTTTGATAGAATGGGAAGTAGGGCCACCTGTGACCTGGGGCAAGTGACTTCACCTCTCTGAGTCTGGTTTCCTCATCTGCTAAATGGGGATCACAAATGTCCCTCCCTCATGGGCTTGTCACGAGGGTACAGTGAGGTGACACATGGTGAGCTGTCGGCACATGCTGGCACACAGTAGGGGCTTGTGGGAAGTTTTCCAAGGAGGAGAGACAGGCAGAGACAGGCCTGGTTAGTACTGACCCTCCAGACGTGAGTTCACGGCTGATCTGCGATGTGTCTCCTCCCGCTGCAGGTAATGCCTGGGAGGAGGGTGCGTTTCTGCTCCTGGGGCCACAGCCCTGCCAGCCCAGGCGTGCCGGACCCCTGGCTCCAGGAATCCTGAGGGCCCCAAACGGCTGCCAGTCTGAACAGCCGTGGTGGGCAGGCAGGGCCCTCAGCCAGAGCAGGGCGCAGAACCAAATCTCATCCTGGCGTTCCCCTACCTGAAACCCTCCGGAGGTTCCCGTCCCCCTGAGAGCGCAATCCGGTCCCCACGCGGCAGGGTCTGGCTGGCCAGCCTCATCCTGAGCCCTGGGCTCTAGCCGCATTGGCCTCTCTGTCCTCCAGGCCTTTGCACAGGCCCTGCCCTCGTCCTGGAACCCTCCCCACTGCGCTTCACCTGGCCTGGTCCCGCTTAATCTCATTAGGCCTTGGCTTCAAAGCCACTTCCTGGGGGTTGGGGGTGCGGACCACCCGAGCCCGGCAGGCCGTCCTCGTGCTCTGTCCATAGTCTCTGCAGCTGCGCATTAGACCCACCTTCCCCCCGCCCCATCACTGTGAGGCTGACCCTGCGGTCAGGCCCTCCCAGCTCACTCGCCTTGTCTCAGGGCAGCCCAGCTTCTCGGTTCTGAGGTGTGCCTGGGAGGAGTGGCATCTCAGGGCTGAAATCCTGGAAGCACCCCTAGGAATCCCTAATTCTTTCCACAAGTATTTATGGAGCATTGGCTCCGGTCAGGCCCCATCCCAGGCTGTGGAGACAGGCCCAGGCCCCGCCCTCCTTTCAGGACGGGGAAAACAAGAAGCCAGTGATAGTCAAGATGGATGCAGCTGCTGGCAGGTGCCCGGAAGGGGTTAAAGCAGGGAGGCAGGAGGGCAGCAGGGGGCTTGGAGGAGGCCCCCAGTGAGGCATTTAAACGAAGGCAGAGAGAAGAGGAGCCCATCACGTGCAGACAGGGTGTGGGCGTGGGAAAGCCTTCCAGGCCGAGGGGACAGAGGTGCAAAGGCCCTGAGGTGGGAATGAGCTTTGAGGGACAGAAAGTGGGTGTGCGGCTGGCCTGTGGGACAGTGGTGTAAATGTCCTGGACCCCTCCTGGGGCTCCCTGTCCTGCCCCCCTCCCCCAACCCTGCAGGGACTACTGGAGGATGCCTGGCTTGGACGGGTTCTGAGATTCCTGAGTGGCCTCCATCGGGCCTGGTTCTCTGTAGTCCCCTTGTCCAGGGGTGAGGAAGTAGCTGCCCGTGATGGCAGAGAAGCAGCACATCTATTTTTAACTTCCTGTCTCTGTACATAACTTCTGTACATAACTGTACATAACTTCCTGTCTCTGTACATAACTTCTGTACATAACTGTACATAACTTCCTGTCTCTGTACAGCTCCCAGGGATCTGGACCCTGGCTCTGGGGCTGCACGGTCTGGATTGGGTTTCAGGCCTCACCTCTGGCCTTATTTCCCAAGTAATCCAACCAGGCTGAAACACGGCCACATTGCCAAGGTGCTCAGCAGCGGGGGCAGGTCAGGCAAAAATAACCTTAGACAGGAGAGCAGAAGAGCCTGGCTCCACTTAGATGTCCCCAGCCCTTACCCCTGCCCTGGCACCTGAAGCCCCTTTGCTTCTGGGCAGGGTTGTTGTTGTTTTCTTTATTGTGTAATCAAAGAATTCACTTGGGGAAGTAATCTGGTGAGGAAATTTTACACTAAGGTTGAATGACTGCTATAACAAGGCCACATATAATAAATATATAATACTATATTATAACATAAGGCCGTACATAATAAGGTGGGCAGATGAAGAAGAGAGCCAGGCCCTGACACTGTCCCATTCTGCCCTGACTGACAGGCACGGGCTGCTCTTAACCCCTTCCTGCCATCCCTCAGCCAGGTCTCCCCTCCCTCAGGCAGGGACCCTCTTGAGCCAGAAGACCCTGCAAGGTCCGCACCACCTGGGAATTCCTCCACAGGGACGGCTGGGAAGTGTAGGTGTGAAAACCAAGCAGTAGCCCTTGATTTTCAAGGAGAGGAGGCTAGAGAAAGGGAGGAGGAGGGCCAGACCTCAGAGACATGTATCAGGAGAAACAGGCTAGTACACGTGAAGCACCCAGAGCAGAGCTTGACCTTTGCGAGTGCCGTGCGCGTGTTTGTCATCATCCCTGGGCGTCTAGTACCTCCAGATGCAGGAGGAAAGGTGCGCTTACACCCAGCTTTGAGTCCTCACCTGAAATGTGTCCAGTCGGTCCTCTTATTTATTGCCCCGCCCCCAGCCCCTCCTACCTCCGGATCCTGCACCTGCAGCAGCCGTGCACCGGGCCTCCGATAGTGTCTCCCAACGACACCAGGTAGAAGGGCTGGCCCAGCGGCCTCACGTGAGGGCTGGGGCCCGTGGGTCACACGTGCCCATCTGGAAGCTCACCTGGCATGCCGGGGGATGTTTAATATTTACTGAGTCCTCCCAGAACTGCTGTGACATCCGCCCCTGGAGGTTGCTCCCTGCCCTGGCAGTTGTGGCACTGGGCCAGACATGAAACCTGATTTCGCCATCCGGAGACTGCACATACATCACTGTCCCTGGCGGGGCTGGCCACCACACCTGCTCTGTTGAACCTCAGACACGAGCACTGGGTTCAGAGCTTCCCCAGGAGCCGGTGCTATCAGGCACAGCCACAGAGCGAGGGCGAGGAAGTTTCCAGGTAGATGGAAGTGGGATCCAACCGAGGGCACGCATCTGCCGGGGACTGTGGGACTCTGGGAGCTGGCAGGTGAGCGGGGCTCCTGCAGCCCCACCTCCAAGCTGCTCACCCACCCCACCTGCCTGTCTGCCCACCTGCCGGGGACCCTAGCCTGTCTGAAACCCGTTTCTCTCGAGGCTGCAGCCCTGCCTGTCCCTGCCAGCCTGCAGATGGCAACTTTGTGGAGGGTGTGTTCCAAGAGGTGGCTGATGTGGCCTCTGGGAGGGTCGGGGAGGAGGGAGCACAGTCCCTGCCTGGGCTCTGCAAAGTGTCACTTGACATATAATATATGAATAACAGCAACGGCAGGTGCAGGGGTGAGCTTAGTCCCCAGGGCTGCGTGCACATTACCCAGACTCAAACATCGCCTGATTGGAGGAACCTTCCCTGTTCACCCTTTACATTCATTATCCTGCCTTTGGTTTTATTCTTGGCACTAGGCACTATCTGATATATAATTTTTTTTTTTTTGTGGTATGCGGGCCTCTCACTGTTGTGGCCTCTCCCGTTGCGGAGCACAGGCTCCAGGCGCGCAGGCTCAGCGGCCATGGCTCATGGGCCCAGCCGCTCCGCGGCATGCGGGATCCTCCCGGACCAGGGCACGAACCCACGTCCCCTGCATCGGCAGGCGGACTCCAACCACTGCACCACCAGGGAAGCCCTGATATATAATTTTTTAAATTGAAGTATAGTTGCTGTACAATATAACTGATACGTACTTTTAAAAATTACCTTATTAACTTCAGCACATATATAGCACTTACTCTTTCCTGGGAACTGCTTGAATCTCTTCACATTTATTAACTCATGTAACTCTCACAGCAACCCTTTCTCTGGTCCCCATTTTATGGATGAGAAAACCGAGGCACAGAGAGGTTCAATAACTTACACAAGGTCACACAGCTTATAACTGGGGGAGCCGGATAGAGACCCCAGCATGTGGTTCCGGAGTCTGTGCTTGCTACCACTTCCCACGGTCTCCCCAGCTGGCAGGGCAGCTCACGAGGGCAGGGGTTTTGTCTGTTTTGGTCACTGTTCTACCCCTGGCTCCTAGAATGGCATCTGGTGTATGACAGGAGCTCAGTAAATATTTGTTGAATGAATGACTATCTCATGACAACTCCGTGGGGCAGGCCCTCTTATTATCCTCCTTTTACAGATGAGGAAACTGAGGCTGCAGTAGATTAAATACCTGTGCCCTCTGGGGCTAGAATTTGGCCATGGGCGGCTGACCAGGAGCTTGTGTCCCGTGAGATGATAGGAGTTGCTGGCTTGGTGAGGCCCCTGAGGTTTCCAGGGCGGGGCTCCAGGTCCTTCCCTGATGCAGCACCCTTGGGACCCAGTTCTCAGCAACCCCGGGCAAGCCCTGGGACCTGTATTTCTGGCACGTTGGCCTGTAATGTGGCTGTGCATCCATGTTTTGGGGAACCACGGGGTTTGGGGCTTGATGCCCGACAGCAGGGGTGGACAGGACAGCTCTGCTGAGTCAACCACAGGACCCTGTGACCGTGTGTGGAATGTGCAGTGTCTGGTTGGCTTGGAAGTACAGCCCAGCCACCAGCCAGGCCTCTTGGGGACCAGGGCTTGGCGATGGCCCAGTGGCCCTTCTCCCAGGCCTGGCGAAGGAGATGGAGCTGTGTCCACTTGCCCCCTGCCCAGCTCTCCAGACCACAAGCCCCCCACCCCTCCCCGCAGACTGTGAACCCTTGAAGGTGGGACTCTGGCCCCTTGGCTCCCATCATGTTGCATGATTCAGAGAAAGCCCCGTTCTGTGAGTGTTTGAATGAATGAATGAGCCTGTGCCCTTGATTTTAGACCCTAAAAGGGCAGCAGACTGTGAAGGGCATCCAGGGACACTCGGAGCTGGGTTTCTAGCAGGAGGATATCTCCCGAGTGAAGCAGAAATGGTGAACCCCTGAGAAAGTGGTCCTCCTACTGTGGTCTGAGGACCAACAATAGTGTAGAGCCAATGGACCGTCTGCTCCATAGGCTGTCCAGGGCCTGTTCCTTCTCTCTTGTTGCTTGGCCATACCTGTGGGGGGCCCCAGTGCACATGGTTGAAGCTGGCTCTTCAGTGCATCCGAGGAAGATGAGGAAGGAAGTGGGAGAAGTTCTCTTCCAAGGAAGTGGAATATGTTGACTAACCCAGTACTGGGACATGGGTTTGCCTCAGAATGCCCATGGATGCATGGGTGTGTGTGTGTGTGTGTGCATGTGTGCGTGTGGGTGTGTGTGTGTGTGCATGTGTGCGTGTGCGTGTGTGTGTGTGTGTATGGTGATTTGTCAGGCTACCTCCCTCCAAACTATATGTATAAAGAGCAGAGTTGGGGAGATGTCCCTGAGGGAAATTGAGGTGCTATTAACAGAGGGAGGGGAATGGATGTGGGGCAGGCAAAGCCAACAGGTACCCAACCCATGGGTATACCACTGGACTATGATTTGGCCTCCCACGTTGCTTTGCCTGCACAGAGCTTGATGAAGAGCACAAACAGACAGCATTGGCATTTGGGCTGCTTGATTGTATTTCTCACTGTAAGTTAATTTCTCACATCAGGTTAGTGTTATTATTCTTTTTTTAATTTATTTTTTATTTTTTTTGCGGTTCACGGGCCTCTCACTGTTGTGGCCTCTCCTGTCGTGGAGCACAGGCTCCGGACGCGCAGCCTCAGCAGCCATGGCTCACGGGCCCAGCCGCTCCGCGGCATGTGGGATCTTCCCAGACCCGGGGCACGAACCCGCGTCCCCTGCATCGGCAGGCGGACTCTCAACCACTGCGCCACCAGGGAAGCCCCTATTATTCTTTTAATCCTCATATCCAAGCCCTCATTTGACAGATGAGAAAACTGAGGCCCAGAGAGTCTTGGCAGCTTTCCTGAGACCACGCAGTTTGGTGGCAGTGGGGTGAGACTCAGCCAGGTCTGCTGACTGCCTGGGGCTCTGGCCACTGTTCCCAAAGTGCCTGCCCCTGAGAAGGGCTTGGTCCAGACCCCTGCTCTGACCACGCCCCCCCATCCCTTCTCACAGAAAGTCCGTCCACAGGAACTCAGTGAGGTCTCGAATGCCTGTGAAATCCTCCAAGATGTATGGCACGCTGCGGAAGGGGTCTGTCTGCTCGGATCCCAAGCCACAGCAAGTGAAGAAGATCTTTGAAGCACTGAAGAGAGGCCTCAAGTAAGGATGGCTATTCGTGGCCTTTAACAAGTGCATTCTTTGTCCTCGTCTGCTCGGTCCTCTCTGCCTCTTCCTGGGGAACGTGGATGGGTCTCTGCTGTAAGAGGCCACAGAGGGAGCTCCTGGTTATCTGTTTAGTCAACAAGCATGTCCTGGGTGCAGCCGTGTGCTTGGCCCTGCCCTTGGGCACCGGGGACACAGTGAATACGGCAGGGGGACCCTGGTCTCATGGAGCTCACGGTGTGGAGGGGGAGACGGTGATAAAAAGTAATGTGATCAATACCGTAACTTCCACGAGCCCAGAGGGCAGTGAGGGAGGTGATGGAGAGACAGCGTGTGGAAGGCCTGTCACACAGGGCTGCCCAGAGAGCTTCACTGAGGAGGTCCTGATGGTTTCCGAGAAGGAGCCATTGTGCTGGCCTCTGGGGGACAAGCATCTTGGGCAGAGGGAACGGCACGGGCAAAGGCCCTGCAGTAGGAGCTTGCACAACAGCTGGAGGTCAGGGAGGCTGGATTCAAGTGAGGAAGAGACTGACTGATTAACTGAGCAGAGGTGGGAACAGGAAGATTCAGTCACTTATTCCCCATATTTTTATTGAGGGCTTATCAAGTGCCAGGCGCAGGGTACGGGAATGAACAAAACACAAAAACCCCTGCCCCCACGGAGCTGACATCCCAGTGGGGGACACACAGACAATAAACAATATAGAAAAGTAGGATAGAGAGTATGTCAGGGGGTGGTAGCTCCTATGGAGGAAAACAATCAGGGTAGAAGGTGTGCGGTTGATTTTAAATAAGGTGTTCAAGGAAGGGCTCACTAAGAAGGTGACATTTGAGCAAAAACCTGAAGAGGTGAGCCCTGCAGATGACGGGAGAACATTTCAAGCCAAAGGAGCCACTTGTGCAAAGACCCTGGGGCAGGAGCATGATTGGCCCATTAGGGGCACAGTGGTCGGGTCAGCATGGGAGCTGAGGTGGGGGAGGGGTATTCGCATTTGCCGAATGGAAGGCTTTTCCTTCTTCCTGGGATGCCCTGTCCTGCTCTCCACCTCTTGTGACCTGCTCTTCATCCCTCACTAATTAATAATCATAATCATAATAATAATAATAACAGCGGCAGCAGCTCTATGACTTGTTTGGTGCTTCACATACATCGTGTCCCTGATGCCATGAGGCATCCTTAGCCTCCTTTTCCAGGCGAGAAACTGAGTCCCAAAGATGGGAAGCATCTTGTCCAGGATCCCACAGCCAGGAAGCAGAGAGTGGGGCTCCAGGGCCAAGGCTGCCTGCCCCGCTGTCCCCTGGGCTTAGGGTAAATGCCACCTCCCTCCGTGCCGGTGCCTGGCTCCCTACGCAGGGGTCATCCCACAGTGCGCCCGGCGCTGGTGCTGAGAGGGAGCCGGGGATGTGCCCAGAGGGTGGAGGCCTATCTCCAAGGTGCCGCTCTCCCAGGAAAGCTTCTGGTGATTCCTGTGAGGACCGCACATTTGAGACGTGTCTGGGGTCAAGGGCATCTCCTTCTTCCTGGGGAGCCCAACCCCTGAGGGAGCTGTGGTCTGACAGAAGGTAGTGTAAGTGGGCCCAGAGAGGGTGAGTCACCTTCCTGGGGTAAGCCAGCAAATCTACAATGGAGCAGGACGGGGCCCCCACCTGGCCCCCAAGTCCAGACCTCAGGTTTCATGTCCGAGTCTCTTTTTGGCGGAAAACACATGAAAAGTCCCCTCGGGCCCACGGCTTTTTCTGTGCCTTCCAGTGTGGGTTTGTCAGGCCCCTTTCTGGGCCTGGGCATCCAGACAGCAGGACGGCCTGCCTTTGGCTGCGAGGGAGGTGTGCTCTCTGTAACCTCCCCACGGGCTGGGGTGAAGATACTGGACTCTGGAGGCCACTGCCTGGTTTCAGACCTGGGTTCAGCCTCTTCCCTGCTGTGACCCTGCGCTGAGTTGCTTCAGGGTCAGTTTGCCCATCTCTAAAATGGGTATAATAACAGTAGCTCCTGTTTGCAGGGCTGTTTGGGGAATTACCTAAGGGATTCCCCATTTTGTACAGCGCTGGGCCCACAGCCCTGGGTGTGTGGGATGTGGAGGCTGGGCGAGCTGGGACTGGGCTTCCTGGGGGTGGGCTGAGTCTGCCCTCTGACCCCTGAGCCTGCTGACCACCCCCTGCTGGTGGCCGTGGCTGCCTCCTCCCTGGAACTCTGCTCATCTGCCTGTTTCTTTCCTTTCTCTGCTCCTTTTCCAACTCCTTTTCCTTGTTCTCCTCACAGGGAGTATCTGTGCGTCCAGCAGGCCGAGCTGGATTACCTGTCAGGACGCCACAAGGACACCCGCAGGAATTCCAGGCTGGTGAGACCCCTCCCGGGCCCTTCCCAGGCGAGCAGCCTTGGTCAGGGTTCCAAGATGGACCCTCTTTCCCCCCGTTGCCTGCATCACGGGTGTGAATCTCAGTCTCAGAACTCAGAGGCCTAAGGAGTGGGCTTTATTTTTGGACCCGGATGAATTTAACCTCGCAGACTGGTGGGAAGCTCCCGGCAGCCCCCCGCCCTCACATGGTGCAGCAGTTCACACGTCTTTGGGCCACCTCCCTTTAGTTCTAGAAGTAACTGTAAGGTAGGCGGGTGTGCAGAGGGTTGTCTACGTGAGATGGCCCTATTCTGTAGCGCTTGGCCATCTGGGCCCCCTGCAATCAGGGTGGCTTACATGATGGCAGGAAATTGGATCAGGCATTGAATCCAGGGTGTGTCACTGTGCCAGTGGCCCTGACACCGTCCGACCTTGATCATCCCTGCGTGTTCCCAACGTCCAGCGGCTCTGCAGTTTTGCTCTCATCCGAGTGGCATCTTTGAGGCTGCCCTGGGGCCTGTCTAGCCCAGGATTCACCTGCTCTGGGCTTCTGCCACCCCCTTAGCAAAGCCAGATTTAGAAGAAAGAAAACAAACGCCACAAAAAACCAATACCAAAAACAAACCAAAAAAATAGGATGCCCAGTTAAATTTGATTTTCAGATAACAAATCATTTTTCAGTATGTCCCATGCAATCTTCAGGACACAGTTATACTAAAAAAAAAAAAAAGTATTCATTGTTTATTGGAAATTTAAATGTGCCTGGGGGTCTTGTATTTTTTTCTTTGGCCACGCTGTGCAGCATGCGGGATCTTAGTTCCCTGACCAGGGATCGAACCCATGCCCCCTGTAGTGGAAGCGTGGAGTCCTAACTACTGGACCACCAGGGAATTCCCTGGGTATCTTGCATTTTATCTGCTGGCACTGCCAGGACCCCACTGCTGGGTGCCTGCATCTCTCCAGTGGGGAGGCTTTCTTTTGCATCTTGGGGAGTCCCTCCCAGCCCCTCTTCTCTATCCGGCTGCTGCCTTGTGAAAACCCCTCCTGTCCTTAATGAGAACTTCTGGAAGCAGAAACCAGGAGGCCTTGATGTCTATGGTTTTCTCTAGCTCATTCCAGCCCTGCTCCTCCAAGGGCCAATGCAGAGAGCGGGCCACCGGCTTGATGGAGGGGGTGGGGAATGAATCTATCAAAGTCGTGTCCCCTCACCTCTATATCCTGGCCCCAGCAAAGAAGACCTCGAGGATCGACAGGGTGGGAGATGCAGGGCTCCCAGCCTGCCGGCCCACTTGGAGAAGGGAAGGCCGGGCAAACTCACTCATGCCTTGTCCTTGGTGGGCAAATGGGTCAGTGCAGAGGCGGAAGGAGGCGCTGCCTGGTTCCCGGCCCTTCCGAGCACTGGCCGAGCCTCCCTCTCTTGTGGGTGTGGCTGTTCTCACGTCCTCCGGTCTCTCTTTCTCTGTTCTAGAAGTAACTCTAAGGGACGCAAGGTTTATGTAAAGGTCTGTATGTGTTAGCTACTCCCATTTCATAGGTGGGCACACTGAGGCAGGGAAGGGGCAGCAACTGCATTGGGGCCACCCAGAGGGACGATGCACCTGGGGTCTGGTTCTCAGTTTCTGAGAAGTTGCTGTGCAGTTACTTTTCTTTCCAAAGCCTTGGGAACTTTCCTATTTCTTAATTTCTTGCATAGAGTTGTTTTTGTGTGTGTTTTTAAAGAAAATATTTATTTATTTTGCCTGCGCCAGGTCTTAGTTGCAGCACGAGGGATCTTTTAGTTGAGGCATGCAAACTCTCAGTTGCGGCATGCATGCGGGGATCTAGTTCCCTGACCAGGAATTGAACCAGGGGCCCCTGCATTGGGAACGTGGAGTCTTAACCACTAGACCACCAGGGAAGTCCCCTTACATAGAGTTTTAATTTCATAATCCTACAAGTACAATGTCACATAAATGCATACGTAGGAAAACAGACGTTGGCACGGGGTTAATCCATCTTTTCCTTCTTGCCTGACTGGTTCCCGTCTGCAATCTTCTCTGTCCCACCCTGTTTAGCCCTTGAGGACAATCTAGTCTTTATCTTTCCATATTTTCCTCCCTGGTCACATAATCATGCAAATATACAGATTGTGCATATAGAGTGGTTTGGTTAACAGTTGTCTTACAAAAATGAAATTGCAACTTACATACTCTCCCACCTCTTAGTCCTTCTCCTTAGTGGATCGCCAACCTTGTGGAAATGCGTCCAGGCTCAGATATAGTGACTCTAACCCACGTGGGCAAAGCAGGGCCTGTTTTGGAATTAAAGTTTATCCGAACACAGCCCACACCCATCATTTACATATTGTCTGTGGCCGCTTTCATGCTCCAGTGGCAGAAACCATGCTCCAGTGGCAGAAAGCTGCAATGTTTACTATCTGGCCCTTTATACAAAGGTTCCCCCATCCCGACAATACATTCTTTTCATTGGCTACACCGTGGCCCCCTGCGAATCCGATGGACCAGTCCGGATTTGCAGTTTCCTTAGACCTGAACTCCTGGGTGGTGCTGGTCGCCTCTCCCCACTCTCAATTCCTCTGGTCATGGCTGAAGTCACCCCTTAAATAATCAAATTGCACTGGTTCCCCTCTCGTTGAGTTTACACCGTCCTTTACTCTTCGTAACTACCCTATGGGGTCGGTGCTGTTGGTACCCCACTTTACATAAGGAAATGGAGGCTCAGACAGGTAGAGAAACTTGCCTGGGACACACAGCTGGCAAATAGAGTCAGGCCTAGAGTTGCCTCACACAAAGCCCGTGTGTTTACTCATTCTTCCTGCTTGGCCTGGACCACAGCTTGCTGACTGCAGGCCTCAGAGGACGGAGTGGCCGCTGGCTTTTTGTCCTCTGAGCTCAGGCGCCCCTGGGATGTAGCCTCCTGGGTCTTGGAGGAGCACTGGAGTCCTGACTCCCTCCTTCCTCTCCTCCCCTGCAGGCTTTCTATTATGACCTGGACAAGGTGAGGGAAACTCCTGTCTGCACGTGGTAAGCAAGGTGGGCCATGGCTGGGCCTGGCTGGATGAGAATAACGTCTTCGCTTGCATTCCATCCTCCTGGCTGTCCCATGGGAGGAATACTTGGGTTTCCTCCCCACTTACAAATGGGGAAACTGAGGCTCAGTGATGCGCCTTCTTTAGGGATGGTGAGGGGCTGGCCTGGCGTTGAGCACAGCTCTGTGTGTCAGTACCTGGAGGAGGGTGGCAGGGGCTGGGGGGGAGTGTGGGCAGGCTACTTTTGAAGCATCTTCTCTTCTTCTGGGAGAAGCAAACACGCTCTGTGGAAAGGCACATTCGGAAGATGGAGTTTCACATCAGCAAGGTCAGCCTGGCTTCGGGGGGTGTCTCCCGGCTTGCTGGGCCTCTGCTGGGTTAGCAGTGGGGCGGTGGCGGGAGGTTCTCTGGGTGCCAGGTGGCTGGAGAGAGCCGAGGAGGAGCAGAGCCTCCAGGGGCTGAGTCCTGAGATGGGGATCAGAGGGTTGGGGTTAGAGGGCTGGGAATGTTGAGTCCCACCACCCGATCCTACAGATGGGATTGCAGAGGCCCAGAGAGGGACAAGGATTGGCCCAGGGTCGCACAGCAAATGCCTTAAGCTTTATATTCTGCAAACTCTTCCGTGAGGTTGCTCTACTCCCCCAGGAGCCCAGTGGGCGGACAGAATATCACAAACCCACCTTCCCTGTTTCACAATTGAAAAATCGGGCAGGGAGAGGGGAAGCGATGCACCCACCCGGCCAGCTCACTAGTTTTTACTGTGCACCCGCTGGGTGCCAGCCTCTGCCAGGTGCTGGCGATGCGGAGCGGACGAGACAGACGTGGTCCTTGCCTCGCGGGCGCACAGTCTACGGGGGTGGGACCGCCGGGGTGGGGTCGGCTGCTCGGGGGCGAGTGACTGGCAGGTCGGGGCCCCGCCCCTCGGCGTGGGCCGCGCCCACTAGCCCGTGAGGCGCGCCCACTGGCCCGTGCGCCCCGCAGGTGGACGAGCTCTACGAAGGCTACTGCATCCAGTGCCGCCTGCGAGACGGCGCCTCCAACATGCAGCGGGCCTTCTCCCGGTGCCCGCCGAGCCGCGCCTCCCGAGAGAGCCTGCAAGAGCTGGGCCGCAGCCTGCAGGAGTGCACCGAGGTGGGCGGCGGTGGCGGGCAGCGCCGCGAGGGTCGGGCCTTTCTTGGGGCTCCCTGGGCCCTGAGGAAGCCTCTCTCTCTGCCCGGGGGCCTCTGTCTGGCAGGGTCTGTGCGTCCCCCGTGGCCGAGCCCGGGGGCAGGCGGTGAGCCACCTTGTGTGGGGCTTTGCAGGACATGTGGCTCATCGAGGGGGCCCTGGAGGTTCACTTGGGCGAGTTCCACGTCAGGATGAAAGGTAACAGGACAGGGCTGAGAGTGGCTGGGCCGGTGCCAGTGTGGAGGAAGCATCAGGCCTTCTTGGGGGCCCTGGGGCTTGTGCAGAGGGTTGGTCAGAATCCCAGGGGTCCAGGCCCAGCCCTCGTTTCCACTCCTGTGACTTGTGACCTTGGGCAAGTCCTATCCCCTCTCTGAGTTGAAAGTGAGGGCCCAGGCCTGTCCACTGTCATCATGAAGGCCTATCCCCCCCATCCCCCGAAGCTGATACCCACCCTGTGATGGGGGGGCTCCTCGTGTGAGGGCCTGTGACCCATGGGGCAGGGACGGAGGAGAGTGGAGAGGAGATTAGCCCGTCTCTGTGTTCCAGGCTTGGTGGGCTACGCACGCCTCTGTCCGGGAGACCAGTATGAGGTACAGCCACGCTCCGGGCGGGATCAGACCTCAGGGCTCCTCACCAGGCCTTTGGGGGTTGGGAGCTGCTGGCAACCAGGGCCCCAGCTGGGTTTCTGTCCCCGCCCCGACCCAGTTGGCAGGGAGGGCCCCCAGGCAGGGGGCAAGGGGGGCGGCTGACCCCTCCCTCCGTGGGCCTGGCCCACAGGTGCTCCTGCGCCTGGGCCGCCAGCGCTGGAAGCTGAGGGGCCGGATCGAGTCTGACGACAGCCAGACCTGGGACGAGGAGGAGAAGGTCTTCATCCCCACCTTGCACGAGAACTTGGAGATCAAGGTGGGTGGGGCTTAGGGGCGGGGCCGGGGCGCCGCGGGGGGCGGGGCTTGGCTCCGACACCACCCAGAACTCCCCATCCCCGCAGGTGACAGAGCTTCGGGGCCTGAGCTCGCTGGCGGTGGGCACAGTGACCTGCGACATCACCGACTTCTTCACAACCCGGCCGCAGGTCATCGTGGTGGACATCACAGAGCTGGGCACCATCAAGCTGCAGCTGGAGGTGCTGTGGAAGTGAGTCGGGGTAGTCGCCTCCCCCTGCCCGGGGCCCACTGCCCCGACTGGAGGCCGGCCCCAAACTCTCACCCAGAGAGGAGGGGGCGGGGTGGGGGGAAGGGGGCTCGCCGGCTCCCCCTGGTGGCCTAACCACGCCTTAGCATCCACCTTGGGCAGCCCTGCCCTCATCCTGCCCCCCAGACAGGCTGGGGCCCAGACCCTTACCTGCAGCCCTGCCTACCCCACCGCCCCCGCCCCTCTGACTTTTGATTCCCTTCTCACTTTTGACCCAGTGGCTGTTAAAGACCTGGCTGGGGACTTCCCTGGTGGTCCATTGGTTAAGACTCCACTCTCCCAATACAGGGGGCCCCGGTTGGACCCCTGGTCAGGGAAAAAGATCCCACATGCCGCGGCTAAGAGCCCGCATGCCACAACTAAGAGCCCGCATGCCGCAACTAAGAGCCCTCATGCCACAGCTAAGAGCCCGCATGCTGCAGCTAAGAGCCTGCATGCCGCAACTACGACCCAGTGCAGCCAAATAAATAAATATTAAAAAATAAAATAAAATAAAGACCTGGGCTGGCCAGGACCCTTTCCAGCAGCCTCCTGGGCTGGGTTCCTGGGAGAAGCCTGCCTCTGCCCAGGAGGACTGGCTTTGCTGTGCCCACCTCATTCCCCGCTGACCCCTGCCACCCATCAGGCATAACGCCGAGTGGTCACCTTGAGTCCTCCCTGGGCCACAGCCCACAGCCCCATGGATGGGGGACACGCGTGAGAACGACCCCTGCCCAGGATGGGGCTCTCCACTGTGCATGCCATTTCAGTGATCGCTGGTGGTTTCCACAGGTTTTGGTTTTGGTAGCAGAGCTCTTTCTCCCAAATGAAACCTTGGGTTTCGAGGAAATTCCCTTCTCCTCATTCCCCAGGGCAGGTGCTGCAGGAGCAAAGGGGCTGAGACGCACTTCCTCTACTCTGGTGCTTCTTGTGACCAGTTGGGGCCGGTCTCTCCTTCCTCCCTGGGGTGGGGTCCGAGCCGGGGTCACTGGAGCCCCTGCCCTCTCCCCGGTGAGCTGGGTGAATTTGGACAAGTGACACCCCAGTTCAGTGTCTTCATTTGTCTAGCGGGGCTGAGCACGCCTCTCAAGTGTACGGGGCAGGGGGTGGCCCAGCGCCATGCAGCCCCAAGCCGGGCAAGTCCAAGGACCCGGGTATCCCGCCGGCCTGCAGCTGCCCTGGGCAGGCAGTGCCTCTGAGCCTCAGGCCCTCGTGGCTGGGCTGGGCCCCAGATGTTGCGAGCTAGGCCTGTGTGCAGGGAGGCACGAGGCAGGGAGGGCTGACCCACGCCTGCCTGCTCCAAGGGCAGGCGAGGGCCGGGCTGACGCATCACTTCCTCACCCTGGATCTGCAGCCTTCCCTGTGACTGGCGCCCCCTGACCAATGAGGAATCTGAGGGGGGCAGTGACGTGGCTAACCCAGAAGACGGCAGAGCCGAGTGTCCACCTCTGGTCTGCTGAGCTTCTCGAAAGCCCTCTAAAGGGGGGTGTCATTCACCTGTGTGGTGGCCGAGTGCCGCCCCTCGCCATCTGGCTAAGGGCGTTCAGGGCAGCGAGCCTCTGAGAGACGTGGCCAGAAGGGTTGAGAATGTGGATTTGGAGTCCCCTGGCTGTGCCTGCCCCTCCCCGAGCCTCCATCTCCTGGGTCCTGTCTGTGCTCCAGTGTCCTCCGGCCATCGATGACACCCTGGCCTCTGCTCTCCTCCAGCCCGTTTGATACCGAGAGCTTCCTGGTGTCGCCCAGCCCCACGGGCAAGTTCTCCGTGGGCAGCAGGAAGGGCTTGTACAACTGGACACCCCCGAGCACCCCCAGCTTCCGGGAGAGATACTACCTGGTGAGTGAGCCGCGCCGGGCAGGGGTGCCGTGGTCGAGCTGGGCTCGGGAGTGGGGGGGACTCCCCAGGGGCCAGCACAGGGGGCTGGGCTGAGCAGCAAACTTTGGGCCCAGCCTCCCTTGTTTGGGGGTCATCCTGGGTGTTTTTCTGTACTTTTGCTTTCTCGCAGCCGACCCCTCCATTCTGGGGCCTCTGCACTTGGTCCTGGGCTCGGCTGGTTCTTCCGGATGCCTGGGATGGGGTTCTCTGGATGGTTCTACCACCCCAGCCATGACCTTGGCCTCCAGTCTGTTTTACCCTTTAGTATACGTTTCCAGTAGGTAATACCTTGACACCCTGTACAGTAAAATACCTCTTTCCTGTGGCCTCCAGGGACCTGGGTCCTCTCCTTAGCACCAACTACTCTTGTCACCTTCCTCCATATTCCTCCAGAGATGCTCTGTGCCGTCTGGGAGCAGATGCCTCTTCCCCAGCCTTTCTCCCACAGCAGCCCTTAACCGAGTGATGTACTGGACACTGTCATTCCCAGAGCGCTCCTCATTCTTTGTTTGCACCGTGCAGCATTCCACATTTGGCTAAAAATCGCACTTATTTAACGAGATATTGAGGTTCAGTTATTTGCTGTTACCAACGACGGGGCTGTAAATAACCTGGTACACACGTCATCCTGCATGTGTTCAAGTGTCTTCCCAAAGCAGGTGCCCCAGTGAGGGTCCAGGGACAGAGACAAAAACAAGGACATTCTGTCAAGCCCAGAGGGAGGGTGATGCTGAGCTGGATGAACCTGTCTCCCGCCTCTGGACCTTAGGTGCGGACGGCAGCTTTATATGAGCTGGGCAACTTGTGCATTTAGAGGAAACGTGATTGTCTGGCCAGGGTGGTCCCAGTGTACTTTGGTTGAAAAATCATCTATGGTTAAGAGCATGGACTCTGGAGCCAGATGGCCTGGGGTCCAAATTCTGTCTATGCCTTTCATCTGCTGTGTGACCTTGGGCAAGTCATTCAACCTCTCTGGACTTCAATTTCCGTATCAGAGAAATGAGAACAACAGCACCGCCCTGATGGGGCTTTGTAAGGGTTAAATGACTTAGTTAATGAGGAGTGCTTACAAGAATGCCTGGCAAAAACAGATGGTGCTGTCTGAACATCAACCATTATTATTGGTTCGGTTGGTGAGGGGGAGTTCGGGTTTCTGTCAGCTCGCCTGGATTAAAACTCTCGCACTTTGATCCTCGCCTGTGTGGCCTGAGGATGAGCCAGTGCCCACCCTCAGGGAGGTGTGGTGATGGTTAAATGAGGTCTGACTCAGAGACTGGGGCTGGAAAGGAGTGCATTAGAAGGGTGATGAGGGATAAGGGCAGAGAGGTGCCAGGCTCTTATCAGCACTTCCGGGCTGCCGCTCACCTTGGTGGACCTCAGTCGTCCTGAGAACGTGGGTATGCAGAGCAAGGGTCTGGGGGGGAAGCCCTCTGGGGGCCTCACTGTGATCCCTGGGGCAGCTGGTGAGGCTGCTCCCGCATCCCCCTCTCCAGTCTGTCCTGCAGCAGCCGGCACAGCAAGCCTTGCTGCTGGACAGGCCGAGGGCCACCTCCATCCTCAGCTGCCTGTCCGACGGTGACCTTCGGGGGCCTGGCCTGCGGAGCCGGAGTCAGGAGCTGCCTGAAATGGACTCCTTTAGCTCCGAGGACCCCCGAGACACTGAGACCAGCACAACAGCATCCGCCTCGGACGTGGGCTTCCTGCCCTTGGCCATTGGCCCCAACACCTCCATTGAAGAGGGGGCCCAGGAGGACCCCCCACCCCTGGGCCTCCTGCCAGAGGTGTTCCACCTGGCAGAAGGCTCATTTGTGGAGCAGCCTGGGTGGAGAAATTTGGGAGTAGAAAGCCTCGACCTGCCACGGGGCTCCCCCTTCCGCAACCACGTGATCCCCGGAGGCCAGGAAGGCCACGATGAAGCAGAAACCGAGGATGGAGTGGATGGGCCCGGGGTGCCCCTCGAGAGGCCCCTGCAGGATGTCCTGGATTTACTGAGGTCCACGGACCCTGCCCCGCCCCAGCTCCGGGAGCTGGAGTACCAGGTCCTCAGCTTCAGGGACCGGCTGAAGGTACGTTTATTCTTTGCTGGGCGGAAGTCCTGCTTTGCTGATGGTGTGACAACTGGGAGTGAGATCCTGGGGCAAGGAGCCTGGACCAGCATCCTGGCCTCACCCCTGTGTAACCCAGGTGGGCGATGTCTCCTCTCTGGGCCGCAATCTGTTCATCAGTCCAATGGGTGTAACAACGGCTCTCAACGACCTGGGAGGAGGATTATAAGAGGAAGTCGGGGCTCAGTGTGGATAACTTGCTCCACGTCCAGCCAGATCCCAGCCCCATCTCACATCTTCTGACCTGGGTGGGTGGGGCTGTGGCTCAGCTTTAAAATTCCCAAGTTGGGGCGTTCTCAGGGTCAGAGCTGGCACTGTGGGAGGCCCCTCACAGCCACATGCCCCACACCGAAACTCTCCACAGGGCCCACGCCAGGGGCTGTCTTTGGGTGGCTCTCAGAGGTGCTGGCCTGGGCAGGTTATTTCTGTTTTTTTGGTTTACATATACAGATGTACATAAGCTAAAATGTATACTTATATATATATATATATATATATACACATATGGCATATATATACAGCATATATACATACAGCACCTACTTAGACATCAATTTTTTTTTGGCCGTGCCCCAAGGCTCGTGGGATCTTAGTTCCCCAACCAGGGATTGAACCCGTGCCCCCTGCAAAGGAAGCACGGAGTCCTAACCACTGGACCTCCAGGGAAGTCCCCATACAGCAATTACTTTATGGAACCACTGTCTTCTGTGTTCAGTTCACTGGCACTGAAATAGTTTAACAGCTCTCTTCAAAATTCGTTTCGGTTATTCCAGCCCTGACCCCTCCCCCAACATTACAGTTCAGCACAGGTGAAAGTTTAATTTTTCACTTTATATCTAGTAACTTTAAAAACACGTTCGCTGTTTACCACTGCTGTGGTCTTTAAAAAGGACCTGCCAGAAAATTTCAAGAAAAAAATTTAAGAAGTAATGTCACCCTTTTTGTATTTCTTAGCGGCGTTAGTGTGTAGAACCATTCGGGTCGGCACGCACGCAGCTTCTGCCACATACCTGTATTTTGAAAAATACACTTTGCATAAACAACCTAAAGTGATACCGCAATAGGACAATAATTTTAAACATCTTCGAGGAAATTTTTTTTTTTTTTTTTTGGGCAAACCAAGTTAGAACAATACAAATGATTATAGGCTATGGTGTTTAGTTTGACTTTTTCAAGAGAAATTATACACATAGGTATAGGTGTATAAATTCACGTATTTATATTCATGTGTATATGTGAGGATTTAATGAGGATTTAATTTTATACGTGTGTATATATATACACGCAGTTAATTCTCACTATTCACAGATTCTGTTTTTGCGAATTCATCTACTTGCTAAAACGTGCTCGTGATGCTTTCGTGGTCATTCAGAGGCACGTGCAAAGGGGCAAATAATTGGAGTCACCTCATGTGCAAGTTCCCAGCTGAGGCTGAAGGAGATGACACTCTTCCTTCTTTTCTCAGCTCATGCTGCACCCAAGTGTCCTTTTCACCGAATATTTAGTGCTACGTTTTCCACATTTCTGTACTTATTTCTGGTGATTTCGCTGTTTGAAACAGCGCCCAAGTGCCAGGCTGAGGTGCTGGCCAGTGTTCCTGACGTGCCTTATGGAGGAAATGTGTGTGTTGGATAAGCTGTGTTCAGGCGTGAGTTAAAATGCCACTGACCTTGGGTTTAGTGTATCAGCGGTACAGTGTCTATATTAAATAAGACGTCTTTAAGCAGACACACAGAAAACAAGGTTACGTATTGATGGGTTGATGAAAATGTTGACCAGAGGCTCACGCCTCTGCATCTCCCCTGGGAGCAATTGTTCAGTTTCAAATCCAGAGATCATGACGTTACACACCGTAACTACCGTGAACAGCAAGAACTGTGTGTGTGCGCATGCGCCTGTGTGCGCGCGCATATATATATATATATGTATATGTATATATATATATTTTTTCTGTTGGGCAAGGAAATCTCTGCAACTAGTCTTATTCTTCTCTTGTTGCTCAAGGTTTTCTCTTTGGGCTCAACTTCCAGGAGCCCAGTTCTGGCTCTTGGGGCTATGCCTTCGGTGCACTTTGTGTGAGACGAGGCCCCTGGGGATGGGAATCAGCCACAGCAGACTTGCCACTGGGAGACTCTGACGACTTGACACCCCCTCCTGCCGCCCCCCCCCCCCCCCCCAGTCAGGGGCTGCCTTAAACTTCCTCTCCTTCCACGTCTCCCCAGGAGAGGAGACACCTGGAACTCAGAGGCTCACCTAGCAGCCTCTGGCCCGGGTTGTTGGGAGTTGTCTGGCCTGACCCACGCCGTATTTAAAAAATAATTTGGAATTAGTTGTCGATAGTTAAAAACTGGGCAGCTCCCCACAAAGTCTAGATTTCCACCTTTTCTTGGAAAACTGAACAAGCTGGCAACCTCAGGCCTCACACTCCGGGTGGCAGGTGGCCCTCTTGGGGGAGGGCCCTGCTCTCCAGCTCTCTCCTGTCATGTGCCCTGTCCCTGTGGGTGTTTGTGACCGGTGAGATTTTTCAGATCTGCCCTCCTTCCAGCTGTCATGCCAGACCTTGTCACAGGCCGTTCGGGAGGGGCCTTGGGGACGCGTCCCCTTGCCCGTCTCTGACGCAGGGGATGGCAGCCCTGCTGAGGGACGGTGACCAGGACGCCGTTAGGGTGGGTATGCTGGGCGGGTGGCCGGGCTGCCCTGAGTTCCGGCTGTCCGTCCATCCATCCGCAGCCCCGCGGAGCCCGCCGGGAGCACGCGTCCGCCGAGAGCCTGATGGAGTACATCCTGGAGAGCTTCTCCTTCCTCAGCGCCCACATCACCCCGCACGAGCTGGCCCTGTTTGGGGGCTCCCAGGGTCCCCGGTGAGTGCGCCCGTCCCAGCGCAGCCCTGGTGACCAGCCTTGGGGCCGGGGTCTCCCACAGCCCGGCCCTGATGTCTGTTTTCTTTATTGTGGCCCCGGCCCCGCCCCGCACAGAGCAGGTCCTCCGTGACCACTGAGTGAACGAGGATACCTCAGCCTGGCCCTTAGCCTTCTGCTCCGAGCGATGGGCTTTTTTTTTTTTTTTTTTAATCTTAAAAAATAACAATAGCGCACTCAGTAATTCCTCTGACCTCTGCGGAGCGATCGGCCAAGCGACCCCGCTCCCAGTTCCTTCTGCACAACTGCCCGCCCTCACCTGTGACACCAACTGCGTTCTCGGTGAAGCAGCTCCCACCTGCCCACTCACACTGGCCTGAGCGCTTCTCCTGCACCCAAAGTTCAGCAGCACAGAAGCGTGTGAACAGGCCACATTTCTCCTCTCTTCTCACGATCCCATGGGGAGGGTGTGGCATCTCCACCCCCCTCAGGGCTCAGGCTCAGCCCCTGCCCGGAGCAGACACAGTGCTGGGTACGCTTGTGTGTCACTCACCCCTCACGGCCCCCGAGCTTGGGCTTCCTGCCCCCACTTTACAGATGAATAAACTGAGACTAGGGGAGGCTGACTTATCCAGAGTCACAGAGCTAGGAATTAGTTGGAACCTTAGGCTTCTGCTACAAATTGCACACCCTGCAAGGTGCGGGGGGGGGCCCCCAACGCCATCCCAGCACCTGTTTTGAGTTGTTGCTACCTTTTGCTGCTTCTCCTTTTCTCTTAGTTTTCTCCTCAGTTTAACTCCATCTCCTTGGGACCTGGAGTTGGCCTCCCTGATCAGAACTCTCCAGAGAGGGAGGGTTTCCTCTACCCTTGGAGGGAGCTGAACTGCTAACCGAACGGTCACCCAGTTCTTCTCAATTCAACTCAGAAAGGACAAGACTCCACCTCCACCGCCAGCGCTGAAAGCGTCGTCCAGGGAGCTCACAGCTGGTGCCCCAGAGCTGGACGTGCTGCTCACGATTCACCTCCGAATCTGCAAAGCGCTGCTGCAGGTGGGTGGGGAATGGGGGAGGGTGGGGTGGAGTCGGGGTGGGGTGGCAGGTTCAAAGCGGGGGTGATGGTGGTGGTGCTGGTGAAGAGTCATGGGGTCCTTATACAGCCCAAGCCCTAAACCGAAGGCAATGGTTGTGTCTCTTTGAGTGGCAGATGCCAGGACTCCAATCCAAACTGGCTCAGCCGAAAGGAAATTTTTTGGCTTATAGGATTGAAAGGCCCAGAGGTGGGCTTCAGGCCCAGCCGGATCCAGGGTTTCAAACGTCATCATGACTGAGTCTTTCCCTCTCTCAGCTCTGCTTTCCTGTGTTGGTTGGCTTCACTTTCTGGCAGGCTGGCTCCTGCCGGTGGCAAAGGTGGCTCCTGGCAGCTCCAGCCTGCATCCTGTCGTCTCTACCCCTTTAGCAAAGGAGGAATCCCCAGATGACAGTCAGGGAGCTACCATCGGGATAGAAGAAAGGATGGGCACAGGGCAGGTGGGCGCCACAGGCATGGTGGTTGACCTCAGAGGGCATGTTCTGTGCTAACCCGGAGCATCATGGGTTGCTTCCCAGAAACTGGACTCTCCTAACTTGTCGAAGATGGTCCAGGAGTGTCTCCTGGAAGAAGCTGCACAGCAAAAACAGGTTCTGGAGACGCTTTCTGTGCTTGATTTTGAGAAGGTCAGCAAGGCGACATGCGTTGAAGAGAGTAAGTGCCTGTCCTCCATCCACGGACTGCCCGTGTGCGTGGCAGGAAGTGATGAGGATGAAAGCCCAGGGGGCCTCCTCTCCCTTCCCCTAACCCAGAGTTAAATGGAGCCCAGGGGACATGAGTGGGGGCAGTGGCTGGGATCAGACACACACTGTGGGGTGGGAAGGGAGGCCCGCTAGCCTCGGTCAGCTGTGTGACTCTGGGCGAACGATTCACCTCTCTGAGCCTCAGCTTCCCCATCTGTATAGGGGAGGCCGCTGGGTAGGTGTCAGTGAAGGAACCCCAGGGCACATTCAGGGCATACAGTGTGCGGTCAGACAGCTGTGACCCCAGTTCTGCCCCTGCCCCCTCTGTGGGACTTCCCCTTGTCCATAAGGAGAGGCTGGTGACAGCAGCAGCCCCAGGTTTGTCGTGAGGGCTGCAGGTGGTGACCCAGATGAGGTGCTCACAGCCGAAGCTGCTTGTCTCTGCGGGTCACAATGGGACGTGGGAAAGGGACTCTGCGTTAGGCCAGGCCATCCCTCCTCCCCGACCTCTCAGGGCCTAGTGGAAGGACATCTCTGGGCTTCCTCACTGCCTGCTGTTCCCCACCGCCAGTCAGGCTTCTGAGCCTGGGCTTTCAGTCATCCCGCAGGCCACGCGGAGGAAGGGGTGCCTGAAGCTGTGGAGAGGCTGCACGGAGCCCGGCGCGGTCCTGTCCTGCCCTGGCACGGTGCTGCTGGACCAGCTCAAGAAGACGTTCCTGCACAGAGTCAGAGGGAAATACCCGGGACAACTGGAAATAGGTAGCCCCCTGCCTGTGCCCGCCCGCCTCAGAAATGCTTTGTGGATCCTCTGGGGCCTTCAGCATTGCCTCGGCAAGCCTCCTTGTAGCCCCGTCTCCACCTCTGCGAACGCCTTCTCGGCATGAAGTGGAGGCCTTTCTGAAATTGACAGCAAGGCATCTCCTTTTCCTGGGGAGAGGAGGGAGGAGTCCGTGAAGCCGGGAGGCTGCAAACGTTAGTGGGCTCATGCACCTTTCTGATTCCATGGCTTCCACCAGAACCTTAGAGGGGTTGAGAAGGAGCCTTTATGGGAAGGTAGGCAGGACTTTACCTGCCCCATAGCGGTGTCTTGAATCTTGGCTGGACTCTTTCCCAGAATGCAGAGCTGCAGCACTTTTCTCTGTTGACAACTGAAGGGTGACATACTCCAGGCAGTGGCTCTGGGCCTTAAGCAGTTCTAACCACCTGCATATTCCCAGGCCCCGGCTCTGTGATTCACATCGAGGGGCGGGTGGGGCCCAGGGCACACGGATGCACCGCAAGACTCCCACCTCGGGCCTGTGGGCCTTAGCTGGAGCACGCCCCACGCAGGCGCAGGGGGCGCAGGGAGGGACACCCACCCACACGCCATCAGAGAGCCTTTAAAGTGACCCGGCCGTGGCCAGCTGAGCGGCGCCAAGGGGGCGGGGTCTCGGTCTCCCCTCACGTCGTGTCTGTGTGTTGCCAGTGTGCCGCAGGCTCCTGGAGCAGGTGGTCAGCTGCGGCGGGCTGCTGCCCGGAGCCGAGCTCCCTGAAGAACAGACCATCACCTGGTTCCAGTTTCACAGCTACCTGCGGAGGCAGAGTGTCTCCGACCTGGAGAAGCACTTCGCTCAGCTCACCAAGGAAGGTAGGGGCTGGGGTGGGGGGCACGTGGCCTCAAAGCAACACACTGACGACAAAGGAGTGTCCGTCGTGGAGACCTCTGTCTCGGCTCGGCTCTGGGAAGCCAGTGTTTCAGAATCACTGTGTCTTTCTCCTCCAGCTGTTCTTTCGAGAACCAGATTTAATTAGATTCTACATTCAGCCCACGTAGAAATGAGCTCCCAGGGCAGGAGGCTTTACAAAGCACAGAGCAGAGGTCAGAACTGGACAGGAGGGCTATTGCTGGGCTGGCCGGAGTCCCTGAAGTATGGACCTGGGGTTTATTCATTTTCAGGGTGTATTTGATCCCTTGCTAGAAAGCCTTCCTGGAGATTCCAGGAGGCCCCCTTTGAGACCAATCCAGACTGTCCACTTGGTGATCACACGGGCTTGTCCTGGGATTTGCTTCTCCCTGGCTAATGCACGAGCCACAGCTGTCCAGCCCAGCGCAATCAGAGGGGACCCCGGGCCTCCTTTTTTCTGTCTCTTGTAGTAACACTCGTCGAGGAGCTGCAGTGCGTGGGCCAGGCCAAGACAGTCAGGAAGCTGAAGGGGAAGCAGCTGGGCCAGCTCCAGCCCCTGCCCCAGACGTTGAGGGCCTGGGCGCTGCTCCAGCTGGACGGGACCCCACGGGTGTGCAGGGCGGCCAGTGCTCGCTTGGCCAGCGCAGCCAAGAACAAGAGCTTTCGGGAAAAGGTACGGTGTGGGAGGCGGCAGCCCCTGGCTGCAGGTGTGTGAGTTGGGGGGAGGTGGAGGGAGGTAGGCTTCCTCTTGGAAAAACAGGGAGCAGTGAGTGACTGGGGGCTGCATCTGCGGCCGGTATGTTGATGTAGAGATACTCCAGACAAGAACACAGCCTTCCGCAAGCCCTCACCACTGGCAGCAGCCAGCCAGCCCTGGGGAGGGAGCTGGCGTTGCCAGGCGATCAGTGGTTAGCAGCATGCCACGTGCTCACCACCTCATTCAGCTCAGTGTTTCTAAAGTACCTTATCTATTTGGTCTCTGAGATGTCACCTGCACGTAGAATGTCTCTCAGAATTCTGACAGTCACCCTCATTTACTTTCAACTAATGTGTGTGGCTGGCTGTTTCGTTGTGCTCGGTTCACTTGAAAACCAAGAGATTGGACCCCTCTGCCTTTTAGGTTCCTGAACACCTGTGACTCTTCTAGATTTTGGGTACCAGCCCCTGTGGTGGGAGAAGGGCAATACTGGGGCCTTGGTCTCGGGCTCACCCAAGTGCCAGGCACATCCCCACTGGCCCCTCCCCCATGCTTAACAGCCCTTACAACAATTTTGCAAAGCAGTTGCCAGCTTTCTTTTCCAGCTGAACCGACTTGGCCATGGTCATGTGACTGACAGGGCGGGGTCAGAGCTGTGACTGGGGAAGAGTGAGGAAGGGAAGAGATGCTTTTCCTTCTGGCCAAGGCAGCAGCCTCACCGAGGCTCCCTCTGTGTTCACTTCTGCTGTCCCCGCTGGACAGTGGGTTTCTCTGATTCAGCATTTTTTTTTTTTTTTTTTTTGCGGTATGCGGGCCTCACTGTTGTGGCCTCTCCCGCCGCGGAGCACAGGCTCCGGACGCGCAGGCTCAGCGGCCATGGCTCACGGGCCCAGCCGCTCCGCGGCATCTTCCCGGACCGGGGCACGAACCCGTGTCCCCTGCATTGGCAGGCGGACTCTCAACCACTGCGCCACCAGGGAAGCCCTCTGAGTCAGCTTTTTATCTAGATGGCAGTTTCGGAACGCATTTTGTAAACAGTACTAGAGAAAAAGAGTTTTCTTATGTCGTGACCCTCAGCCCAGGGACCAGCGTTTTTAGATAAATTGAATGCCGTAGCCTACAACTCGACACTGCGCACACCTGCTGTCAGCATTCGGGGGATGAGCCGTGGGCACCGTGGACTTTGCTCTCACCAGCCCCCCGTTCACAGTAACCTCATTTCCTAGGCTTTGCTCTTCTACACCAACGCCCTGACCGAGAACGATGCAAAACTCCAGGAAGCTGCGTGTGTGGCGCTAAAACATCTCAGGGTGAGTTTAACCCGTCCTTGGTGGGGATAGAGGGAAGCCTGCTTGTGGTTAATGCTGAAGTTAGTTCATTTCAAAATGATCCCACTGGGACCGAAAGAAAGAAAATCACTGCCAGTGAAGAAGCACCGTAAAGAGCTGGCTGTAGAGGAACAGCCACCAGCTCCAGCAGCAGAAGCTCTGATGGCAGAGGTCCCTGGGAAACAGTGCCCGTTTGCTCTGGCTTGGTGTGAACAAGCAGGTGGCCCCAGAGACTCACTTTTGAGCTCTTGGATTATATGGTTTAATATCCTCAATGAAAAATGTTCTAAGAGCACAATAAGCTCATTGTAGAAAAAAGAGAGTGTAAAAATACAGCAATGCAAAAATTATCCATCCTAATTCTTGAGCATCTCTGTGCATAAAGCTTTTAAAATTTATATGGAATTCTGAATTACTTCCTTAGGCTAGACTTAGTGTTATCCCAGGGCCAGAGAATGCATTGATAAATGTTTTTGAGACTCATGATACCACACACCCATTTACACTCCCGAAAGCAGACAGGAGGGGATGCCCGTTTTACCTCAATCTCATCTTCATTTGTAACCCTTATTTAAAAAAAAAATCATTGCCATTCTGCTAGATGAAAAATGGTCCAATACAGACTAAATTCATTCTGGAATGAACCGGCAGGAAATTCTACAAGGACCATCTGGTTATAATCAAATAACCAGTGAGTGTTAGGGTGCCCACTAGGGGGAGCTAAAGTGCACTCTGGTCCTTGGCCCTGGAGGTGATCAGGTGGTCAGCTGTGCCTGAACCAGGTCAGACCTCCTCTCCTGGTCTGACCTGGAGGGCAGGGTTGGGAGAAGAAGACGGGGTAGAATGGTCCAGGAGAAAGCAGGTGTTCTCATTTCCAACACGGGCCTTTCCAAAGGTGTCAGGATTGAAAACATGAGATGCTGCCAGTGGCACTGTGATGAACCTGAGGCCACAGGAGAAACCTGGAAGCCTTCGGAGAAGGAAGGGGCTGAAGCCGCAGAGACCATGCTAGGGCTGGTCCTGCAGGGTTTATAAAAGTGGATACCTGTTCTTTAAAATGCCCCCTAATTGTCCCTTCCCCCAACCTCAAACAGGGCATCGAAAGCATTGATCAGATTGCCCGCCTGTGCCAGTCTGACGTGGAGGCCGTGCGAGCGGCAGCCCGGGAAACCACGCTGTCATTTGGTAACGTACAGCATCCAGCGTTTCGAAGTGCAGTGGGGTTGCTGGGGCCCGTAGAAAGGTTGTGCCAGAGAGGCCACAGCGGTGACGCAAAATAGCACACGGGACGGGCACCGTTAGCAACCTGTTTGACTGCATTTGGCCAAGGCCGGTTTCCTTTATGGCTGAGGTGGCCGTTTACGACCCTTGGGAATGAAAGCCAGATGCGAGGCAGGATTAAGGTTCAGCGGGCTCTGTCTTGGACAAAGGGACGAGGCCCTGGGGTCCACGTGAGCCAGTCCCAAAGGCTCCCCATCCCCTACCCTTTACAGCAGCACCGGAGGCCTAGGCGTCTGGAAGTACTAAGGCCACCTTGGCTCACCAGTGTAGGAAAGAGCGAGGTGGGGAGACAACCCAGTGACAGATGACCTTAATATTTCAGGTGAAAAAGGACGCTTAGCTTTTGAGAAGATGGATAAACTTTGCTCAGAACAAAGAGACGAAGCCTTTGGCCAGGAGGCAGATGTTGAAATCACAATATTTTAAAAAGCCTCAGCTAATGAGCCCAAACCCGGCACCTTTGTTTTTGCTGCTGCCCGGCCTCGACACAGGGAGGGCTTCGGGTGGAGGTACACGGTGTGCTCTCCCAAGAGCGTGAACTGGCCAGAGCTGCTCCCGGACTCTGGGCCAGTTACGAAGCCCCAGGGCACAAGTGGGACTTCTGTACAGGAGCAGAACAAGGGGCTGCACGGCACTTAGAGGGCTGCACTTCAGTCAATCAGCCTTTGGCTTTGAGAATCGGCCTGACCTTCCCCGGGGGCAGAGCCGGGTCAGTGCCAGCCAGCCACGTCACGAAGGGGCCGAGGCCAGGCAGGCGGAGGCCTGGAATCAGCAGGTCAGCTGGCTCAGCACTTCTGGTTCACTGAAGACTGGGACTGAGGAGGCGAGCAGACCGAGCGTCCCTGCTGAGGACAGAACTCGGGTCGCTCCCACAGCATCAGGTGTCACTGTGGGGAGGGCAGAGCCAGGGTTTCGACGGTTCGCCCCCTCAGCCCGAGCTGCAGCCCAAGCGCCACAGGGGAGCCGGCTGGCGGCCTGCTGACCGTGGGCCTTATTTTCACTGTGGTTCAACAGCACAAAGGAAACAAGAACATGCCGTCAGCCGAGAAGTCTTGAGTGCCATTTGCTTTGACCTCACTCATCAGAATGGAATCCATTTTCTGAAGCAGGTCAACTTAGGGTTTATTAAATAAATTGCTTCAGAAGCCATAAGCTAGTTTGAAGAAAGATTTTACTGAACATCATGTTTAAAGAAGGAAAATTAATTTCCTATTTAAGTCTATTAAAAAACCCAGACATGTCCTGGGCTGTTTCTGGGATAAGAATGTAGAGGTACCCTGGGGTCTGGATGTGGTATCAACAATGGCATTGGAAAGCTCTGTAACTTAAACATGCTCATTTACATTTCCTGTATATATTCTGTGCTTTTTGGTTTAACTCAGTATTTATTTGCCTTGTCCATATGTTGTTTTCTGAAATTTCAATTAAAATAACTTTTTATTGGCGTTCCACTCTACCTGAAAAAAGTGGAGGGTAGTGGTTGTTTTCTGGAATATCCTGAGGGAAGAAGCCATCCCTGCTGTCCCTCAGTGCTCTCTTTCCAACGTGACATAGACGCAGGGGTAGAGGAGGGCTGCCTCAGGGCAGGGCTGCCCCTTGGACTCTCCACGTGCTCTCTGAGGCTCCCAGAGTCCCCTCTCCTTACAGACACCAGGCGGTGTGGCCCTTCTCTGGCCTTGGGCTCTATCTGACTTCTGCTTAGTTACAAATTTAGTTATTTTTTTCCACATTGGCATTCCTCCTCTTCATGAAAGCTTAGATGTCATTTTTTTTTTTTTTTTGGTATCTGAAAACGATTGAGGTGACGACAGTGGGTGTGACACCACCACCCAGGTCCCCACTGTCCTTGCTGGGTGTTGTGTGGTCACATGACCACAGACGTTGTTTCTGGGTTCCACGGATGTTGCTGAGAGGCCACAGCATAAACAGTTTACTCAGCAGCCAGCTTTGAACAGTCATAAAACCTTGGATATAAGGAAATTCTTGGTAGTATTTCTGCAACATTGTGCAAGTCTGAAATTATTTCAGAACAAGAAGTTGAAAAATCACTTTGGGGAGACTTACATTTAATTTTGTACACGAAACGAAGACTACACGAATTGTTTATACTTCACTGTTACCTCTCAGTGTCAGTCTCCACTGATGTGTCAGTTCCACATCAAATGTGACTCGGCAGAGGTGCTGAGACATGGCCACCGTTGTGTCTTACAGGCAGCCGGCTAAGGGACACACGTTCTTGAGGTTTGAGCAGTTCTTCAAACAACCTTTATAAATTCATTAAGTTATCCAAGGGCCCTAACACTTGAAAAGGTGAGTTTTGTTGTTGCTGAAATGGGTTGAGGCCTGAGGCGCTGAATAAACACGAGGCAGGGAAAGTGCCCCCAGCCCAGAGGCACCCACGACTCCAGGAGGCCGTTGCCGTTGTAATCCTCAGATGCGGAAAAACTATAACCCCTCTTGACTGACAACATCTGCTTCACATCAGCAGGGATGGAAAGAAAACAGAAGTTGCCCAGCCTGGTTTAGGCCTATTAAGCAAAGAAATGGGAAGCACCCCAAAGCCATGTTCTTTAGAAAAAATTTTTTATTGTTGCAACTAAAATGCAAACCCATCATTTATATGGCAAGTTGGAAAACTGTACAGTTTGACAGTTCTGTGAGGTCACAGAAGACCCTGAGACGCGCCCCCCGCCCCCCATCATGCATCCATGTATACACACACCTGAAAAGGTATCATACCAAAACACCTCGCTTTTTTTTGTTTGTTTTTATTTTTGTAAAAATGGTTTATTCTATGGCCATCGTAAAAAATAATGACCTGATGAGTAAATATTGGCTTAAGGCATATAGCAGAGCAGCTCGCTACTTCTCTAACATACGTGTGACAAGATGGAGAACCATCTGTTTTCCAAGGATAGGAGGTTAAACCAGTATATCCATTTTGAAATGCTACTATATATACACACCAAACTACTACATACATATACAGGACTTAAAATAACAAACAAGCCCAACTCAAAAATGCTTACAGCCTGGCACCTCAGAGTCTTATCCACACCTCACCAAGGCTCTGCGGGGCGATGCCTCAAATGTTCCCACCACAGACTTTCTCTGCACGAGCTTCTAACACGTGAAAGGCAAAATGTGAAAATGCTGGCAGAAGAGCAGCCCGTGAGCTATAGCTGCCTTTTTTTTTTCTTGTTAAAAAAGCCACTTAATGTGGAGGTCTTAAGTTCCCCTCGCAGGAAGAGTCGTGAGCACCATCAGTCCCCAGGGTTCAAGGGCAGGGCAGACGCCTCTCTCAGCAAGGCCCCCGGACCTGAAGGGCCACAGGCTGGCTCGAAGGGACCGTCGTCCAGGCTGTTTCAAGAAGTGTGGTTTCCAACAGTCGCCTTGGTTCCAGATCACGGTCCGCTCAAGAAGAGTGTGAACTTGGCACAGTGGAGGCTGACCCCAAAGGTGTGTGTGTCGTGGGGGACCTGCTTGTCTAAGTGTCCAGAGCATGAGGTGTGACTATGGCTTCCCACACCCTTGGAATGTCTGAGTTACAGTGGGGCCCAGCTGGACCAGGACAGGCTGGGCCTCACTAGAAGTCACCAGAGTGTCATGCCAGGAATTGGGCAAATAACTGTTACTGGACATCGCTCCGCTGCCGAATGGCAATGATTTCAGCAACGGTCTTAGGAACCAGAGCCACGTAATGCTCAGCTCATGCAAAGGTAGACTGGACTTGTACACGGAGCGCGTCAGTAAGCAGAGATCTAAGGATTTCAAGCACGTGGTATTTGATCGGGACACAAGAAGACCGTACATGCATCCTAATACACACAGGGAGAGTGGTGACTGAGACCGAGGTTCGAGCAGACAACTGGGGAGGGGAGGAACCGGGACAAAGTAATCTCACGCCATGTGTCTTAAATAGCCAAGTGTTCATTATATATTATCCCCTTGTTCTATAAACATAGGCAAACCTCTTCTCGTGTTACCCAATGAAATCACGACTGCTTACAACCGTCCTCCTTCCTAGTACTGGTCTGACGCAGCAGGCTCACGGCAAAGTCCTCCGTTCCCAGCGCTACCTGAGGGTTTATTATTGTACTTTTTGATAAAGCCCTTGGTGCAAGGCTGACATCAAAAAACGTTAACACATTATTGGTTTATGAAGATGCTAGTGCACTGTGGATGCCTTCAGGAGAAAAGACTTAAAAAATAAATATGGAGTGGAGAGGCTCACTACACGCCGTCTCCAGGGAGGGCTGTGGGAAGGATGTCGCTTGCCGCCTGCCAGGGATGCGCCGAGGGGGCACCATGCGAGGCTCGCCCCTCCACCCGCACAGGCTGCCTTGCTCTGTGCCACCAGCCCAGCGCCCTCTGTGCCCTCCTCAAAAAATGGGTTGTGGGTCTGGTATTCAGAGGAAGGCGAGGGGGAGAAAAGTAGCAGGATGGAGGTGAGGCCAACCGCCCGGGGAGGGGGGCTTTAGTGCAGAACCGACGACCGTCGGGGCACGGAGGGCTACGCTGTCCAACGGCCCTCGCCTACGCCGGCTGCCTGCTAGGCGGCTGCGGGCTCTACGGGCAGGGGCGGACCGTGGGTGGAGGCAGGTCAGATTGTGTGTGGCTGTCGAGCAGGAACTAGGACGAAACCAAACGCTTTCAGAGGAGCCCGGCCCTGCCCCCGCAGAGCTGCGGACTCGTGCAACACCTCGGCCGCCCGGGCCACTCCAGCCCCCGTGAAGGGGGTTTTGGTTATTATTATTATTTTTTACAACAGCTCCCCCTTCCCAAAATCACCCCCGAGGAAAAAGCTGTCTGCACGTTACTAAACCATCGGATGCGCTCAAAGGTGGTTGCTTAGAAAGAGGTAAAATTCTTAAAATCATTAAAAGAAAAAACAGAAGTCTCGTGAGGTGATTTCCACGACCAGAGATTTGAGGCTAATCCTCACTCTTCTCCGTAACTTTAACGGCAACACATTCTAACGTGTGGATTTCTACTGAAATGGCATTTATGTTCCAAGCAAAGTGGAAACTGCTCCTTCTGGATCTCAATGGCTGGGTGAAAAGCCGGTGGCCACCCTGTGGTGACCTCTGACCCTGAGGCAGGGGCCCTGAGGAACCCTGTTTATGGGGATGGAGCAATGGGGGCAGGACGTGCGCAACACGGCTGTAACGAGAGGGGGCCGGTGGAGGAGCGGACAACGGGAAGCCAGTGGGACACCCTGAGCAGAAGCAGAAGCCGGGTTCTGTTTTCTAGAGACGGCCTTTTGTTGTTTTTCTTCTTAAAACGGGAAAGCTCGCAGGCACTGTCCCGGCTCAGTGCGCGCTCAGCAGAGGAAGTGCCTGAGCGAGACGATGTCCGAAACCCTCAAACCCTCTCCTCCAAAGGACTTTACATTCGCAAAAGTGTGGGAGTCTTTCCCTGGGAAATCAAATAAAAATTGTGTATCTGGTTACACCACCTAAGGGTACAAGAAAGTTTCGTAAGTGCCTAGTCTTTTTTTTTTTCCCAGAAATAACAAAAAGCTGCTTTTTATAAAGGTTAAAAACAACAATGTGTTGTAATTCTATTACTTTTTTTTCAAAAACAAATGAACAAAAAAAGAAAAAAGAAAAAAGAGAGAGAGACGTATTTGGCATTTTGTCTACTTACTCCTGAATAGGTTAAGGCCCTGAGATTAGACTCTTCTATTCTTGGGACCACAGGGCTCCTTAAGACCCCGGTGCATCAATCCTCAATTCTCTCTCGTTAGCCCTTCACAGTCCCAGACTTTGAAAACCTTTGATCTGTTTCTTCTGAGGCTGGCTCAGAGGCTCCCGCAGCACTGAGCGCTACCACCGGGCTGGCGGCCAGGGCTTGCCGTACACGCGGTCTGGCCAGCACGTCCGTCAGTGAAAACATACCCTGTAGCAGAGGTACGCGCCGGCTGTGAGGACCGTGGCCACGCACACGTTGACCAGGAAGGGCTTCCAGTGAGTCGGCACCTGGTCCTGCTCCTCCTTGGGCAGCGATGGCTCCCCCTGGGCGGAACCTGCCCCCGCGACCCGCCTCCGGACTTCAGTGTCTTGACTCGCGCTGAGGAATGAGGGGGGCAGAGGCGGGTTACTCACTCGGGAAAACAATGGCAAGGATGCTATTACTCCCGGAGGAATTCTAGGAAAAAATGAGCCACGTGGAAGCAGAGCCTGCTGATGCTGACACTGGCCAGAGGCCCGCCTGTCACCGCCTCCCTCCCAGGGCCCGACAGCAGGGCCAGGGTGGGGTTCCGGAGACCCGCGGACTCCTCAGTGACGGGGCTGGGTAAGGGTCTGAGGAGCAGTACAGCCCCTGGGGCCGCTTGTAGAATGTTCCCCTTCAGATCAGGGAAGGTAGTGCGACCACAGGCTTCCACTCCCTCCCCGGGGCCTGACAGACGTGGACACACAGAGGCCTTTGTTGCTGCTGACATGCGAACACCAC